TGAGCTCTGAAACTGGGTTGCCCAACTCAACTTGGGCGTTTCCTGGCCCAATGTCAAGAAGGCAGTAGAGTGAGTAGAACTTGTGGGATTGTGTCTGGGTGGTTAGTGATGGGAGGAGAACACCCATGTATACTCAGTGAAAAGGCACCTATGAAATAAGGTGGAAATTTCTTGGTTACTCCTGGTGGTGTCCATAATAGGCAAGCATTATTCTTATTCATATGAAGTCATATTCCATACCAGGATGCCATGGCTGCCCCATAATCCAGGGATGTTACCCACTACTCATTAAGAGAGCCTCTGTCTCTGCAGCCCTTACTCAGCACCAGGCGCTTTGCTTGTAACTGGATTCCTTTCCAGAATATGCCATCTGCTACCATTTTGGCATTTAAGACACTGAGATTGATCTTTAAGTTGTGAATATTAGCACATGTTACTTTTACCCAAGAAGTGTTTGTTCCCAGAACTGAACAAAACTTTAAAAACCAAAGATTCATCAGATCACAAATGGTTATTGATATGCACATTTTGATCATCTTCACGAACCATGTGGTCAGGTCTCCTAGAAATTAGGCATAGAGATCAGCAGGTGGGTTCAAAAAAGTCCCATCCAGAGATACGGAAGGGAACAGCTTTATTTACTTGTCCTCAGAGCTTACCTTTCCAAAGTAGACCTCATTTGTGTACAGATTCTCACCATCCTCTGGATTCTTGCACTAGTAAGAAATTCCTGAGCTGGACATATTATGTCTTTTGCAGCTGCTTGGCTTGCTAAAAGGTGACTGAAGTTAAACCTTGGCTTAGAGTCCCTGGCCAGTGATTTCTGTATCACCCAACCTTTGCTGTCTTGAGCATTCTGTCCCAATTGCCTAGGTGCAGCATGAGCCTGGGGATACTGCAATACTGTTTTTATTTTGTTTTTTTGGCAGTGCTCGCATATGCTAGACAAGTGCTCTACTACTGACCTGCACCCCAAGTCCTAACACCATCATGTTTTAAGTGAGGTTCATATCTGTCCATCCTAACCCCAAACTAACCACTCCTCTGGACCACCGAGGCTCTCTCCAACAGCCCCTCTACCTTGTACCCAGGAGGAACTCTTGTTGGCTCAGCTGTGTCTGTCCTGAAGGAGCAGAAGCTGACATATCTAAAACCTTTCCCCTACCACCTTCCCCTTAGTGAGAATCAGTCAGAGTCCTGGATTGCATCAAGGGCAAGTCACTTTTATTTCTTATGGGATGTTGGGCATATATAATTTAAGGAAAATTAGCTTCAGAGGAGGTACCTGAACAGATACAGAGTGTAAAAACATATAGTTATTTGAGGACTAGGTGAGATTACACGAACCACCGAATACTTTATATCTGCTATGTACTAAGGGGCCACAGGTCCCCTACCATTTTACAGTGGTCACAGTGAGCCAGCCCCTTTGTCAGGCCCTTACGCATATTACTTCTTTAAGTCAATTTTGGGATAACCTAATGAATCAGGTATTAGCTCTAGCCCCTCAAAAGGTCTAATTTTTTTGCCTGTAAAATGAAAAAATCGGTACCTTATCCAAGACTACTTAGTTACTTATTGTCTGATACCAAAGTATGAATCTCACTTGGTAGATGTGTAGGTGTCATGGAACCCAACAGAGATCATTTTGGATAGGACTTTCAAAACATGTATTGTGAACAATTATCACTGCTTCCCAGGAGGGTGCCTGCTTCTGCTCAGTCTTAGAATATTTCCAATCATCTTTTTGAATAATTGAGGATACAATAAATTTTGCCTCTCTTCTCCCTGAAGTAATATCCTTCCCCAAAACTCTGCCCCTAGAATTTTCAGAGCTCCCAGAAATATTTCTGCAAGATGAATGTTCCCGTTTGCCATCCATCCTGATGCTCCTGCAGGGCTCCAAGTGCATCTTCAGACAAGGCCTGGCAGGGCAGATCTCCCAGCACTGTTTCTGGGCTGGAGAGGGGGCATCTCCCCATCCATCAATCCTAACTACATTCAAACATTTTCAATATGTGGGCTCCTTGATAACTTCCACTGTATGGAAATCAAAATGAAGGGAAACGATTATTGGTGCAAAAGGGGAAAGATGTAAATCTTCAAATCAGATACAGGACAGATTGGAACAATATGGGTTCTTCAAGGTTTCCATGATAATGTACCTAATAACTCTCCTTGGGCAAAAAGGCAATCTGCTTTCAATCAATCTTGCTTTTTTTTTTTTCTGAGCAAAAATACCAATTATGTTGAAGGAATATTTTTTCTTCCTTTTTGATAAGGACTGCTCTCCACCTCAGAAATCATGCTGTAGCTAAAGATATATATTTTCAATTGTCTAGAATGGTATTGGACAGCTAGCACCAAATGAAAAAAAGTCAATCTTTTTTTTTTCTTCTCCTATCGTGCCAGCATTTGTCTACTTCTTAAGGGAAGTGAAAGCTAATTAAAGGCTTAAGGGGTAATATTGATTACATTGGAATATATTTTATATGTACCTGACACATTTTCAAGAAAGAAGGCCCTGACTTTTTCCAAGGCTGAATAAATCAGCCGAGCCTTTGATTCAAGGGTGTGGGTGGGAGAGCTCATCTCCTCCCTTTCCACTTCTCAAGCATCTCTTGCAGAGATGAATGATTTCCAAAGAGGAAGAGGGGCTGCTGGCGGCTGTTCATTCATATCTTTGAGTACAGGAGAGGAAGGATGAATGATCAGGCATGCCCTCGGACCTCTCATTGACTGGAGTCTGGCTTTGAGTGATAGGCAGGAAGATGCTGGTGTGGAACTTTACATCTTACCATGCCTGTGCAGGAGGCTGGTCGTGGGTATTAGCCTCGCAGATTCTTCCTGCATTGAACAGGAGAAGTAGCTTGCCCAGGTGGGGGGCTGCACATCCTTGTAGCAGGGCATGGAATCCTGTCTGACTTACGTTCTCGGCCAAGTGACGGCCTCAACTGTAGGGATCCCTATAAGGGTAGGATCATGTTGGCCTTGTTCTTAATCATGGAAGCCTACAGGCAGATAGCACTAGGAGATGCCAAACAGTCCATCTCATTTTCACTTGTCATGAGGTCACCCATCCCATTGTCACTTGTCGTGAGGTCAGATCAGGAGTGGGATCATGTTTCTAAGTCACTTTTTCCATGAGTTGGAAAATTCAGAACGTGCACATTGAGATGCAGTCTGTTTTGTACATAAATGCTTGTGTGCCATGAGAAACCTTTTAAGACATAATAAAAAGATGCATATAATCCCAGTATTCAGTTTATATCATGCCTGCTGATACACAGTGGTTTTCATAGCCTTGTAGTAAAGAGGGGGGTCAGTGATGTGGGCTTCGGGTGTGAAATTTGGATGAGTGGCCGAGGGACCTCTTCCATCCTAGCAGGTCCTGGCTGGAGCACAATGCTCATGTTATGATATCTCTTCTGAAGGAACCCATTGACAACACTCTGCCCTCTCCTTGATGGCCACAGCTTGCCTGATCGCTAAGTGCACCACCATAACAATAACAGTCCATAATGGTCGTATTATTAACTGTATCATGCGTATTATTGATTTACTCTTTGTTCTGCATCATTATCCTTTCACCGATGAGTTTACTGCATTATTCTCACCTACTTAGTCGAGCACCAAATTACCACGAAAGGGCAGGCTCTTGTAATGGCATCTAATGGAACATTGCATAAGCCATCATCACTGCCGCCTATTAAGAGCTGCCTCCAGCCAATGAGCTTTCTGCCTTATTGCAATGGGTACAGAACAATTATAAAGTGCAAGAGACCTAGCTGTTCTAAATTTTACCCAGGAAATTGCTTCACTGCATGTTTATCACCTGCCCCCATCTCAAAGCACAGCTAGAGATCCAGCATTTGTCACTGTCAGCCCGAGGGGCACAGTGATTGGGGTTGAGACTCTTGTTACATATGGAGTCTTTGCCAGAAGCCAGTGTTTGCATCTCTGCTGTCAGATCCCAGCTTTGCTCTGTAAGCTAATGCTTACAGAGCATCAAAGTGCTTACTCCTGCCTGCCTGGGCATCACATAGCAAGTAGAAGTGGGCAAAGATGAGCATGGTGCAGAGATCAGATTGGTCTGGGAGCCCAAGGATGTTGAAATAACTGTTGGTTTCCAAGTTCGGGAGAAAGGGGCTCACCTCCTTGTGGCTAACCACGATTTCTGGAAACTGAAGTTCAAATCACCCTATAACAAAGCAAGCATTTCCAGCATCAGACTTTACTGGCTTCTTCCAGTATAGAGAGGAAAACCCCTTTGGCTCCCATGGCAATCTCAAGCACCCTAAGGGAGTAGCCCTTTGGGAATGCACAGCCGGCGGCATGATCTTCGATTCCATGGGTGTCCCATCCCCATTTAGCCTTGAACAATGCTCACTTACTGTAAAGTGCTACATGTCCCCATTGTCAGAGAAGTTATGGTGGAAAAATGCAAAATTTCCTTTTTACTGCTTATGGCCAGCTGAGCCTATAACGTGTCAAGCTGCACATTAGCCACTCTGATAAAAGTCCGCTTTCTTACACACAAAATCATCGTTTCAGCAAGATTTGTTATCTCATTACCTGATAAGCTCTATGTCATAAACTAAGACTCATACCGTAAATCTCCCGGGAGGACGCTTTGTGGGCAGAAAGGGAGAGATATGAATCTGCAAGGGACTTGATAATGCAGCATTTAAGCTCAAGCATAATGTCACTTATTGTTAAATGCATAAAACCACTTGGCCAAACGGTTGGGCTTTTAATAGGATTTTGTGCAGCCTCAGGTGAGCAGCCATATGCCTTTTGTGTCTGGGAGTCTCTGAGCACCTGCTGGCGCTGCTGCTTTGCCTCACAGCCCTCTGGGGAAGGGAGCTGTGCTCTGTGGAGCTGGAGGGAGGAGATGGATGCTTCCCTACAGCTGCCCTGCTTGCTCTGCCTTGTCAGGGCGTGGGTGTGTGGGCCTCCTTACGGGGCCTGACTTCATCTAACGGCCCTCTCCTCTACAGGCACATTGTGGTCTGTGGGCACATCACCCTGGAGAGTGTTTCCAACTTCCTGAAGGACTTTCTGCACAAGGACCGGGATGACGTCAATGTGGAGATCGTCTTTCTTCACAAGTAAGAGACTGCTGCTGTCACCTCCGGGCCCTCTGCTTGGCTCTGTGCTGCTCCCTGGGGATGGGAGCAGTTGGGGCCCAGGTCAGAGTTAACCAAGCCACCATCCCTGCTGGCCTCCTTGGAGAGGACATCACAGAACTACGCTAGGCCAATGATAAAAGCAACGCTTGCCTCCCGCAGGCAGCTCTGGGACCACGTCCAGATTTCTCTCAGGAAGAAATAAAGGTGGAAATATGGGTCCAGTGCATCATTATTGTCCCCTCTACAATCTGGACCTGGACAAGCAAGGGGTTTCTGCAGTGTCTGTTGTGGGCCAGTGAGCCTTGTGGTGTGGATGCATTAGGAGTGCAGGAGCAGACCATGACCAAGCAGGACAGTGACATAAGAGAAAGCAGAGTATTAGATAATAGCATTAGATAATAGGCCTCCAGTGGGAAACCCTGTGCCAGCACTGTGTATGTCATCTCTCATTGAACCCACCACGAGTGCCCACACATCTTCAACCCAAATCCTGCCCGACACAATCAACTAGCTGAGCTGGTCATTCAACTTCCCCATGACTCAGTTTCAACCTCCAGACCTCATTGGTCTGTTGTGAAAACAAGGTGAGATAATCCTTATAAAGAGTGCAGCCCAGTTAGGCGTGCAGTAAGTGCTCAATAAATGTTAACTGTTATCATGAAAGATAAAATCGAGAAGGCAGCACAGTCAATTTAAGCATGTCTCAACCTGTGTGTTTTACAGGGGAGAGATGCAAGGTGTCTCCCCTACCCTGTGTGGGTAAGGTAGTAAGCTTTGCCTGATCTTCTTTTAAGGAAAGGGGAGTCTGCCCCAGTAATATAGAGAACTGGGGGCTCCACCCTCTCAACACAGTGGTACCATTATTGTCTTCTTGCGTGAAAATGAGATTAACATGGGAACATTTTACCAGACTTGCCTCTGTGTTTTAGGAGACTTTTTCTTCTCACCACTGACTTCTCTGAATTCCGAGGAGATAGACCAGGCCATAGCAGTGCAGGAGCAAGACCCACAGGACTGATGCTGTGCTTAATGTGGGGGACAGGTTTTGGGGCCAGCGCTTCTGCTGCAGGGTGGTTCTGGAGAGGCCCACAGTGAAGATTCGGGAGCACTCCAAGATGAGCACACTTGCAGCAGTTAGAGAAGAGCACGGGTCCTATATTGGCCAATGCCTGTTGAGATCGGTTTCATCCAGTGACAGAACCTAATAGGTTGTCTCCATTAGGGAGAAACAGTACTGCCTACATCAGCAGGATGGTATCCCAAAAGATACGCTATTTGGATGGAATTCAAACACTGGTCAGATTCGCACAGGCAGCCACTCTTCTCTCCCCAACTACTTCAGGTGGAAAGAACCAGCTGGCTGCTGGTGCCTCAATGGCTAGGATTCATCTTTGCATCCCCAGTGTCTAACAGCGTCTAACTCATGGTAGATAACCTCTTGAAGCTTTGGGTTAACAGCATACTTTACAGGGCTGGGGATGGAGCTCAGCAGTGCAGTGCCTGCCTGGCAAGTGCCAGGCCCTGAGTTCAGCTCCTGGTACCAAAAAATAAATAAATAAATGAATAAAGATTAAAAAAATAAAATAATCACCTTCCATGGGGTTGTTTTGAGGGTTAAGTGAATTAATAGTTGTCAAGTTTTAGAATGCAGCCTGTCTCAGAGGAAACACTTGCAAACATTAACAATTATTTTTATCATCAACATCATCACTAAGCATTTAATAAAGGCTAGGTAAGTGTTGATTTAGCACAGTTGCTAGCACAGAATAGGACACAGCTGGATATCATCTCCCAGAGCCTGCCACAGTATCTGATAAAGATGAGGTACTGTATTTTCATCTCTGCACAAGTCATAAGTGAATAAACAGGTCAGGCGCTCGTTTGATCCTTGCACTTCAATGGGAAAGATGTCTGAGCAGCTCAGCACCAAGAAGTGTGATGAAAGCTTTGTCCATCTGTGAATCAAGAACTGGACAGAGAGTAAATCGAGTTTATTTAGGACTGTTCATTGGTAGTGTTTTTGATCCTAGCTTTGGGGATTCTATGAGGTAGAGAACCAGGAGAAAGGCTCTTGAGACAGGTAACAGATGATTAGATAGGGGAATCTTTGGCTAATCCTTCATTATACCAGAGCTGTACTATAACATATTGGGGCTTTCCAGGAAACAACCAGTAGGATGTAGATACAGATGTCCCTCTATAGATACACGAGGTAGGATCACAAGATACACTGAATGTTTAAATTCTGAAAACATTACAGTAAAATTAATCTCCTCTAAAATTTACCCCTTCTTCAAACACACTAGTCCCATTGTTCTTGCCTGTTCAAGTCCTCTTTCGGTATCATAGCTGCCTTGGTGTCAGATACCAATTCTGAACATTGACCTTTTATGGTCATTTTGACATTAGAAAAGATCCAGAAGTCACTGAGTGCCAGCTCCAGTGAATGAAGTGGATGAGAACACACTGTAGTGGTTTTATGAGGCTGCCTTCCTGTTGGATGGTGCTCAGCAGTGGTATTTACTGTATTTTTTATTATACCTCATAAAGACACTCATGAAAGAAGACTTGCAGAACTGCCTCAGAAAGTGGCAAGAAAAGAGGGAGAGTATTTGGACAGGATTAAGGGCAATGCTACATTTTACTGTAGTAAGTTTTTTTTAAAATTTAAATACACAGTATTCTTGATCATCCCTTGTATCTATCTGTAGCTGTCTTTCCTTGTCTGTACAGAGAGAAATTCATGATGAGGTTTTAGCTTACTTGAGCTACGGAGACTGAGAAGTCTCTCAGTTGGCCATTTTTAAAATGGAGACCCAGCCGGTGATGTGACTCAGTTTGACTCTGAGGGCCTAAGTACCAGGGAAGTGAATGATGTAAATCCTAGTTCACAGGCAGGAGAAATGTAATGAGGTGTCTCAGCACAGCAGGCAAGTTAGAAGTGAAAGGTGTGGCTCTCTTTTTCCTCTATCTTTTTTTTTTTTCCCCCCTCTCATCTGAGTCTCAGTGGATTGGCTGATATCCACTTCCACTAAGGAGAGAAATCTACTTTCCTGAGTTCACTGATTCAAATACTAATCTCATCTGGAACACCCTCACAGACACATCAAGAGATCCTCCTTTATCTGGGTACCCCAAGGTGATCCAGGCAGGTTGACACAGAAAATTAACCTTTTTTTTTTTTCCCCCCTCTCATCTGAGTCTCAGTGGATTGGCTGATATCCACTTCCACTAAGGAGAGAAATCTACTTTCCTGAGTTCACTGATTCAAATACTAATCTCATCTGGAACACCCTCACAGACACATCAAGAGATCCTCCTTTATCTGGGTACCCCAAGGTGATCCAGGCAGGTTGACACAGAAAATTAACCATCAAGTCCCAGTTTCCCAATGTGTAAAATGGGGTTTCTATTGTTAACAAGTGGAAGATACTGTGCCTCATAGTCCTCAGCCTGTATTTTACCTTGGTATTGGATTTGGTGTCCAGTTGAGCTCTTAAATGTGAACCTTTTATTTATAGCAAGAAAGGGGTCTTCTTTGAAGGTCAAAGCCTTCCCCCACACCTCCCTTTAGAAAGTGGAGAGAAGTGAGGCACAGAGGCTGAAATCCCACCTTCATTGTATTCATGGCTGTCTCTTCTCTCCCTGTGCAGCATTTCCCCTAACCTGGAGCTTGAAGCTTTGTTCAAACGACATTTTACTCAGGTGGAGTTTTATCAGGGTTCAGTCCTCAATCCACATGATCTTGCACGAGTCAAGGTAAGGAGAAAGAGGTGACTTCTGCTTTCACTCTGTCTTGGAGGTGGGGGAGGGGTCTGACTCTGCGATCAGAGGACGTGCTTCCCAGGATGGCCAGGGATCACCTCCTAACCCCTGAATGAGATGAGTCAGACACCTCCAACCTTGACGTTGCCCTTCAGCTGGCCCTGGGACCTTGTGCTCTGGCACATGCTGTGCCACCTGTAAGTGCTCTATACTTGGTCTTAATATGAAACTAATTTTGTTGATTTTTCTCAGCTTCATCTACTCTTAAAGAAAGTAAATCAATTTGGACAGACTCAAGAGTCATATAAATAGTATAATAATCAAGTAATTCCCACACTGAACATTTAAGTTGGACTCAATACAGCTCCAACATCTATTAATTACGTATGAAAGAATCATTAAAATATAAAATGAAAAGTTATTAAGCCAGAAGGCATGTTGAGCTTCCTTTTTCCCTACCAAAGACTCTAGGTGCAAAAGTAAACTTGCAGGCATCTGGTATCATTTGGCTATGGGCTAATCCTTTTTACCTGGAACCCGCTCAGTTAGAATCTTCTCATAAAGCACACCTGAGACTCAGAAGAGAAAGGAACACAGTAAAATGGCATCTGCTGCTTGATTCACTTAATATAGATTTTTGTAAGCATGCTCAGTATTTGCATGCCAGTACTTGTGCATTAGCATTGTGAATCCACTGAAGTCTAAATTTTAACCATGGTCGCCAGACACTTCTGTAAATAACATAATTGACAAACATGAATAATCCAAGAGGATTTGTGTAAATTCTTTGCATTATTAAACAAATCTAGACACAATTTGTGACATACCACTGAGGAAACGATGCCCTCTCACCGGATGCAGGAATGATCTAACAAGCACAGCATACCAAGTCAGACAGATTGCAGATTTGAGCTAGCATGAGAATTGTTGTGCTTATATAGATCAGTTAATCTTAATATTATCCAGACATGACTCAAGTTGTGGCGAATGTGAAATTTTATGAGAATGGAGGAAATAGTTTTTTGTTCACGGACCTATTTGAAATGCAAGCAATTATTAGCACATCAAACTCTTGATCCCCTCTAAGACAAAAAAAAAAAAAAATCTCTCCTGGCCCTTGTTTAGATAAGTCAGTAGGTTGGTTGTATTTTGACTCCTGCTGTAGCCTATTATTTCATATACCTACATTTGTTGACTTCTGACGATCTGTCTACTAATGAATACTAAACCATATAGTGTTGTTATCTGATTGAGAGCTCTGAGCTCTTCCCAATGCATAGATAATGAAGAAGTGAGAAAGGTTGGATGAAGCACTTTGAGTAAATTTCTGAATCTCCAAATAGTTAACTTGCTAGTTTGAAAGAAGGGGTTTAAGCTACCAACCTCCATTTCCTGAATGGGAGAATCAGGATGATAATGCAGACAGTTGATGAAGAAAGTGGAGAAGGGAATGAAAAGCTTAATGAATTGTACGTTAAAAAAAAATCTGGAAATCCCACAGGTAAGCGACTATGCCAAATGAAAAGTATAATTACCCAGGTACAAGTTGTATTCTCCAACCACAGTGAGATGAAATGTTTATCCTATAACAAGAACTTGCAACCTACACATTTGACAAAAACTATCATCTTTCTTGTTTTTTTTTTTTTTATCTTTCTTTGCAAAATATCAGGTTCCCCAAGAGCTGTCAACAGAGAGATTGCAATTGAGCTTGGCTATTTATCTGTTTGTGTTCTGTGATTTTTTTTTTCTTTTGGTGTCTCAGATAGAGTCAGCAGATGCGTGCCTAATTCTCGCCAACAAGTACTGCGCTGACCCGGATGCTGAAGATGCCTCCAACATCATGAGGTAACCATGGCATGGTGGCACAAGGGAGAGCCCTGAGCTCGGTGTCTGTGGCTCACTTGTAGCCCTTTATGGCCTGCAGAGGTTTGTTTCCAAGGTACCTTCTTTCTTCAAGAAGCTACCCCACAACTGTTACCCTGTGTAGATTTAGGAGGGCTGATGCTATGGTGGGTGATCCTTGAGTAAGGTCATGGCCCACAAGGCACCAACAGCAGGAAGCTCAACCTTGGCAAATGGCATCTTTGGAAGCTCAAAGCTGGTCTTGGGTTTGAGATTCTTTGAGTCAGAGCTAGCAGGCTAGAAGATAGATTTAGATGAATGCAGTAGCATGTTCCCTCAGAGAAAGTGGACCTTGATTTCCATCCACAGGGGACATTTTACAATATCTGGAGATGTTTTTAGTTGACCTAACTAGGGGATGGTCATGCAGGTGTCTGGTGGGTAGAGGGCAGAGATGCTATTAAACATTCTACAATATACAGGGTAGCTTCTATGTAGAGAATTATCTGGCCCAAAATGTCAATAGTGCTGAGATAGAGGAGCCCTTTGTTAGAGTCTTTTGAGTGTGAGGGTAGAAGATTGATTAGTATCACCTCAAAGAGAAGGTGACTGACCATTTGGCAAGTTTCTACCAGTTTCCTAAAATTTGTTCTTCATGGAAAGCATTTTAATACAAATATGCATCTCTGAGAAAATATACTATGGTGTATTTTCTAAACCTATTTGACTGCAAGCCCCCATATCTTTTCTTTTAACATCTAGGGGAGGACATTCTGGCAAACCCTGCCCAGTACATTCTTTTATTTGCACAAGGATTAGATCCATCCACTGCTAATTTCAGCCCCAACTCCAACACCTTATTTTTTCTCATTTCAGACGAAAATATGTTCAGTTTTTGTTCTTTTCATAGACTTGCAGTCACATCCTGTGGCTATACAGTGACTGAAAGCTCCAAACATTTTGCTACAGGTAGTCAGAGCCCTTTTGGAACTTGTCTCTTCTCTGGCATAAATTGCAGGATAGTTATTTGAGCTGGGAAGGAGTAAGAAAGAGAATCTTCTGGAGAGGGGATGAACTCAGAGAAAACATTTCACTCCCACTGTATTCCCAGGAACTTGTACTTAATTGTGAACAGCCATCCTTCCGTCCAGACAAAACCTTCCCCTCTGCCTGCGGCTTGTGTTCCTGTGCTCTGGGAATTTACCTGAAGGTGAAGGTTGGGAGATTGCTTTTGTGTCCTTACAAAGCTCTCAGATCCTTTGTCTTTGCTTTTAATCAGTGGCCCCAAGTGACAGGAAATTTCCCATCAATGATGCAGAGGAATTCCTCTGGTGCATTTGGGATGAGCAAGTCCTCCCCACAGCATCTGGTCCTTGTGTCTGGCAGGCAACATCTGGCACAATCTCCTCTTTCCACTCACTTTTCTTTGGCAGCATGCTAAGTGCAGTCATTTTAAGGAAGTCAGTGTTTGAACTCCTGTAAGCCTTGGGCCTGCCAGGCTGCAGGCAGGATGGAGTAGGGGCAGACCTCATCATTCCGGGGCCCATCGCCCAACTAGGGTGTCACTTGTCCCTTATAAAAATCAGTAGTGTTTCCAGCATTTCACGTGCTTTTCTGTCATTTGGAGTGATTAGAAATATAGCCTTTGTGGCTGTATCTTTATCTTTCAGACTTCAGCAAAAACCTAGAGGATGGCTTAAGATTTTAACTTCACAGAGAAGATTGGGGTTGGCAGATTCCTTCCCCTGCCCCCCCCCCCCCGCCAAAATGAATAACAGAAATGAATACTAGCTTTGAAATGGACATTTCTCTTAATTCCAGTATTTCAGTTCAACCCTGCCAATGACGCGCATAGATACCACGGTGACTGGCAGGATGCCAAGGTATAGACAAAGGTGGTATCAGAAATATAATTAAGCCATCCATTAGCTAGAACCAGAAGTAATGCTCCAAAGGACACGGGAAGCTGAGAGTTAAAAATGGGCTCTGTTTTTCTCTTATTTGTATAATCCACCTTCCTCCTTAGTTTAATGAGACCAATCTGTCCCCTTTTGAAATTAAAATGTCAAAGATCCATTTGAAATGAACTAATGCAGAAAACTGGCTGATGTTGTGAACAGCACCAAGAGGCTGACAGAGGTTCAGGGTCCCTGAGTTATAAGCAGGGGCCGACATGACTCTTTTTCAAAAGTAAAATGAAACCCTTCGAGTGCAAAAGCCCAGGGTGAATTTGTGCAGGGAGAGGCTTTTGTGTGACCCATTTCCTGAATTCACAAGTTGCAGCTATTCAGATAGAGCCGCGCCTGGGCTGGGAGAGCTCTGCTTGGTGGGGAGTTTGCGATGGAAGTCATGATAAATGCACTTGCATTTCTGATTAGGCTTAGGAGGTGGGTCTTTCTGTGGAATTCCATTCTTTAGCTTTCCTTGTCACAGAAGGAAATGTACAATGTCACCTCTGACAGGGTCGGTGATGACAAAAACCATAAGTCACACGTGCAGAGAGTCTTTAATGATTTCAAAGCATTTTCACATCTGGTCTCCCGTTTGCTCCTCATACCAAGCCTGTGAAGTAAATAAAGCAGGTACTGTGGCCCCTAACATCCAGATGAGGAAACAGGAACAGAGAGCCTGGTGATTTCCTGAAGGTCACCAGGTTCATTAGTGCAATACTGGGACTGGAAGCCAGGTGTTTCCATTCTCCTGTTCCTGACTCCTCCCCTTTGGCCTTGTGATTGACAGGATGAGGGCCTGTGAGGGTTGGGGTGGGGGCAAGCAGTGATTCATACCCAGGGTAGACTGAGGGCAGTGGGTGGGATCTTGACCTTCTCAAGGTATTGGCACTTATCTTGGACTGGTGTTCAAGTCATCATATTGACTGTTAGCGGTGGAAGTCCTTGCTCTTATTCTAAGAGCTCTGTTTAGAAATCATATTGCTGAGAGTGGCCACGTGTATGTGACAGTTTCAACCATTTGTCAGTTGACATGTTTGATTTGTCATTGTTGTTGCAAGTTGTTAACTCGAAGGACTTGAGTCAGAGCAGATTACTTCTTCGCTGTTCTCTGGGGTGTGGAACATTGCACACCTTGGAGGACTGGTGATTTGAGCTTTAGATGTAGATGTAGGCAGTAACCTTGTTCTAGAAGCACTGACTGATGTGTTCACTTAGTCTACAGGGACATACATTCTGTCACCAAAGCCTCACAGGATCCTTCGGGGCTTTCTATGTCCAGGACACATACCATGGCTATCTTTTGCAATTTCTTTTTCACACCTCCAAGAAAAAATGGTGGTGGGAATATAGTTTTTCTTGGCCTCAAGCCTCCAGCCCTCTGGGAGCCTGGCTGGTACACCCACTTCCTATGTGCTGCACTTGGTGGTAATCCAGCGACCCTCCCATCAGCCTCCAGGGCTAAGGCAGGCCTGGCCTCAGCTATGGTTCTCTCTTTTACAGAGTAATCTCCATAAAGAACTATCACCCGAAGATCAGGATCATCACTCAGATGCTGCAGTATCACAACAAGGTAGGACTTTGGGAGCACTCCATGCCTGAGGCCACTGCAATTTACCATACCGCACCACAGATACACACACACACACAGACACACACACACACACAGACACACACACACACACGCACACACACACACACACACACCTCCCCCCCCCACCACAGACACACACACACACACACACACACACACACACAGACACACACACACACACACACACACACACACACACACACACACCCACCCCCCAGCGCTGTGCAAAGTCCTGAGTAAAGACATGTGGTGGTTAAAAATTTCCCTGGGACATTTCTTTAGGCTGAGCAGCTTGTTTGCAGGGGTCATTGGAGGGAAGTTCCTTCCTGTACTGATGCCTCCACTCTGGATGAGTCTAGTGGACCTCTTGGTTCAGGAATATTGATGTATCCTCAGACCTCATCTATACCTAAATTCCAGCAACTGGCAGCTCTATGTGCTGCAGTTATTTCTGTGGTCAATATTTGTCGACTATCTACTCTGCAATCAGAACTCTCCCCGACATCCAGAGGGGATATCAGGGGAGGAGAAGCCCTTTTGGTACCCTCACAGATTTAACATTTAAAGGGGAGAGGATGCCCCCTGGCAAGAGATGGGACTTTTTAGAGGCCTAGTGAACCTGGGAGCATGGTGGGCACTGGTAGAGAGAGTAGAACATGATATTCTCAAGTTCAGGATCAGAATTTGCAGAGTTGAATCCAGGAAAATAGTTGAATATCCAGAAATTAAACACACAGGAATCTTCCTAGTGTTACAGTTTAAACAGATTGGAAAAAAAGCAAACATCGGTGTCTACATGGTTTCCATGTGATTACCTTTTAGTAAACGAGAGTTGAAAGTCTCTCATCCAAAAGTAGTTTTCTGTTACTCAGCCTGTTAGTAAACTCCCAAGAAGACAGCTTTGGGGGAGGGAAGGTGGCACCTTACTGTTTTCGATATGGCACCAGTTAACTTCTTAATGAAGCTTAGAAGCTGGAGGCTGCTCGTTACCTGAGGCCAGGTGTCCTGTCTGAACAGAATAACTCCCTGCTGGGTTGTGAGTGAGACCGTGCCCCATCTTCTAGGACGCCTTCCCCATGAAATAGGCTGTCAGGTGACCCAGTGGAAACCCCATTCTGCCAAATGCACCAGCGCCATGCCATTATTTCTTAATTGCTGGCAAGCGCGGGCCCATTTTGCCATGTGGAGGCCCATCAGAGGCCATTGTGTACTGGAGCCTGCTGTCTGTGACTGGCCCACTGCTCGGAGCGGCTGCTCAGTGCCAATCCATGCCCAGCCCTCGGCAAGTGGCTGTAGTGCAAATGGCATCACTCTCTAGCCAGTGCATTTGGTGGTGGGCGCCCAAGGTCACTTTCTCCCATTTGTCTCTAGAAAAGTCAAGGACACTGCAGAGATCCAGTGAGGGGTGTTGGTAACTTGCGGGTGTCAGTCTGCAGCAGCTTTTGGAGGGCAGCCCTGGTAGGTGGAGGTGAATTGATGAGCAAGGTTGAGAGTGGTGACAGCAGCTGCCATAAAGAACACTCCTTCTTTCATTTGTGATTTGAAATTTCACTTAGTGTGGGAGTGCTTTAAGCTGTTGTTTAGATTTTTTTGGCTGAATTTAGACTGAATAGGAAAATTAACATTGTATGTTTAGGAAGGGATGTCAGGTCCTTTTTTCCCCCTCTTTCCTATGGGTGCTGATGTAGCATCTTTAAGAAATTAAGGAGGATTTCAGCTGCATAGATCTTGTCATAGTCAAAATCATTCAGCTGGCCTAGGGTTCAGCAGTACTTTATCAATAATCACTTGAAAGTCCTTAAATTTTTTTGCCTTGTACTTACTCCGAAACAATGATGACGACATCAATAGACCCATGATTATTACCTAAAAACACATTTTGTTCAGAACTATTTCAATCTGAGTCTTCAGGCCAGTTAAAATCCTAAAGATTAGTAAAGGCAGAAAGAGTGGAGCAACTATGACACAGGGCATTTTTCTGTTATTTTACTTCTCTATTTTAGGGAAAGAATGAAAAGTCCTTTGTCTTCTAATTCCATGTAGATTCAAAAAGGTGTTCTTCCCTCTGCTTCCTAGTTGTGCTCTATTTCCTAACATACGTCCACTCATCCTTTCAACATGGTCCCCCTCCTCTTCCTCTTCTTCCTCTTCTTCCTCTTCCCACTACCTTCTCCTCCCCCCCTCTTCG